AGTTACTTTTTGACTTCCCGGGGGCAGATAATACCATGTTCCCCCACACAGCTACGCCAGCTCCTGCATAGTAATAAGGCAACAACAATTGGCGAACCCGGAGCCGTTGGAGCACTTGCTTTCTAATCCCATTCTCTGCTTAAGTTATTCTCTCTACCTCCTTCCCCCACTCTCGTCTACCCATTCCTGGCTCAGCTATTTCTCTTCCCCCCTTCTTACCCCCCTCATTCATTTTAGCTCTTCATTGCTCACCAAGTTCTTCTTTTCTCTCTTCCATTCCCCCTACATCCACTCTCTTCTACAGAATCTCACTACAGTCATCCTACTCTTCCTCACAAAATGCCCAACCGCTTGGATTGGACGGATAGAGCAACAGTCTCGCTTCATGCAGGTCGACGTTCAATCCCCCGACCGTCCAAGTGGTTGGGCACCAATCCCTTCCCCCGTCTCATCCCAGATCTTTATCCTGACCCTTTCCAAGTGCTATTATAGTGGTAATGGGTTGGCGCTTTCCCCTGATAGTTCCATTTCATTCCATTCCTCACAAACTCTGTGTATCCACCAAACCGCCATCTTGGCCTTCCTTCCTTCCTTCCTAAATCATTCATTTTCAGCATAACCAAACTATCGTATTATGCTCTTCTCAACCATGTTTTTCATTGGCTTTGCACTTAACATCTCTCCAAGACATTTTCATTCCCTACTCGCTGTACATTCCTCACACCACACACACATGCTTCTCAGATTATCCATTGTTAATGCTCCAACTCTTTTCCTTTCAACTTCCATACTAGACCCGCGTCTGCCAACTACACACGAAAGTCAGCACACTCAGTGTTTGACTCAGATTCGTTTTATAGTTTGTTTTTCAATTTCAAAATAACCGCATCATTTGCATACGTAAAATCTGTACATGCTCCAACTCGTAATAGACCAGCTTACAATGTTTAGAATGTTTACAACCCACTAACATCCTTGTTTTGATTAGCCTCATGGCTTCATGCATGTATTTATTGAATAGGCTCGTACCACACAGCCTGGTGTACACCTGAGATAACATCAGACACTTCACACCAGTAACACGTATAAGGTTACCTACATGTGCCGACAATAAGCCATAATAACGTGGCTGAAAATTAGACCTTCAATCTTATTCCTGTACTTCAACTTTTTCCCCAATACTTCTGACGTCTCGCCTCTCATCTCACTCACTCACTTACCTTATACAGTGACTCTACCACTGTTTATCATTACACGACTTTATAATGGTTCGGGACTTGATAATGGTTGAAGACTTGATAATGGTTCAAGACTTGATAATGGTCCAGGACTTGATAGTGGTCCAGGACTTGATAATGGTCCAAAACAACCTGGAACATCGTCACCTTTTATTTTCAGATTTCTGGGTTGGGTGTCTTATACTTACTCATAAACGACACAATTCAACCAGATGACAGTAACCTACCAATTCCATACATGATCACAAGTCTCCGAACTATTTCTCTATTACATTTTGTTATAGCCTTTTGCTTCTTAAGCTAATAAACGCAAATGTTGACAGCGTACGGTCCAGTACACATTGTGTTCATAACATTCAGCCCTTAGACTTTTAGAGCAGTTTCCCACCAACTTCTAATGACCTTTACGACAGGGTCTCGCCGTCATCTAGCTTCCCTGTTACACTTCTTGACTTCTTCCAGTTTTTAAGTAAACTCGACTGTGAATCAGGAGATTACGCACGTATCCATCTCGTGTAAATGTTTGCTTTGCTCAAGCAAAGGAGGAGATACAGCATCCTCAAGTGAACATGTAAAGATCTTGAACAAATAAACGAGAACGAGGAGTTACAATAACGTGGCTGAAATCGGTTGCCCAAACCACACACTAGAACGTGAAGGGACGAATGAAGGGAAGTGAAGGGACACAATCGACTTGAGAATGGTCCAGGACGGACCGAAACATCGTCGTCCCTTCAATTTTTAGTGTGTGGTCTGGTCAACAATAAACGAGAAGATCTCGAGGAAATAAACATTAGGATCTTAAGCATAAGACGCCAGAACCCTGCAACTTCCCGAGCATTGAAACACAAGGCCGACATGGGGTGCAAAACGCCTCGTCCTCCAGTAATGTCAGCACTTCTCGGAAACCTCCGTCCCCCTCCCCCCCCTCTTCCCTTGCTGCCACACCCTACCAACATTAAAATAATTCCCCCTAGTAACAACAGCCTTATTAGTTTGATGGATTTCAGCTGTCATTGTTTCTTATATGTGACGGGTGTCAAAATGATTTGAAAATATACGGTTGCAGTGGCCTGGTGGTCTCATGAAATTATGGAGTAAAGGAAAAAAAACACTTGCTTAGACAAGCGGTTAAATTCGCTTCCAGGAATCGGTAATAAATGGAAAAAACAAATCTGAACAGGTCTGGGTTTTTGTATCGCATCATTTTTGCACACACACACACACACACACACACACACACACACACACACACACACACACACACACACACACACACACACACACACACACACACACACACTCGAGTGAGTATGACTGCGTTAGAGCACCAAAAACAGCAAAGGTAAACACCTTCAAACTGCTCTTTCAAATTCCGCTTATCATATCTCTACCTACCTCTACCAACAGCTGCCAGACCCCGCCTACCGCTACCTATTACAGCTAGACCATCTACCCCTACCTACTCCTATCTACTCCCACCTACCACTTGGAAATTGATCGCTAACTCTAGCGTTCAGAAATCATTGGCGATTACTTGTATAATTTGGAAACGTTTGACTGGAAAATGATAAGAAGTAAAACGTATAGAAACGTTTCTAGAGTAAACAAAAAAGCATAGAAGGAGGAAGGTGTGTGTGTGTGTGTGTGTGTAAGGGGGGAGAGGAGTAAGGGGCTACGGAGAGAGAGAGAGAGAGAGAGAGAGGTGCAGGCATTCAAACAAACATGCATAAGCAAATTAAACCAAACAATACAATAATACGAATCAAAGATCCGAAAAATGTAAACATATTCATCACAAACTTATTGATGATCATTAATAAAATCCTTCGCCAAATAGTTAACAAAAAATAACTTATTCTCACACAAAAACATATTCCCGTGATAAAACAATAGATTCCACAATGACTAAGCTTCCAGCAGCGAATAATTAAAGCCTCACAGCTGTCTAAAGTTCACCATTAGAACGTAGGTCTGTGCAAGATAATAGTGAATAATCAGCTAATTTATCTGTTAAAAAAGATGTATATAGACAATAACGAATTTGTTATCACATTAACATGCTTCACAGCACCGGCAGCATGCAAGGAATTTCACTCGTCGCGTTGGAGGCTGTCTTGTTATTGTTCTGTCCAGGAAAAAAGGCAAATAATATCCAGAAGAGAACGAAAAGGAAAACGGAAGAGAACGAAAAGGAAAACGGAATACCCGTTCTGGCAGCTCTTAAAATACCTTTACACACCCTTAGAGTAGGACAAGAGGACAAAAAGAGGTACCACGGAAGACATATAGAAGCAGTTTGATCCTCCACTTGGACTAATCAGTACAACGAAGGCCGACTTTGGCTTCTTTGGGACCCTCTGATGGTCCAACTGGTTTGGCTACCCTTCTCTTTCTCTATTCGCAGATCTCAGCTTTTTCTTCTCAATGTTCTCTCCGAGTATGTGTTATTGACTGGCTGAGCAATAACCGGAATTTGAAAGCGCTTATGTTAATTTGCATACTAGAGTAAGTGATACTCTAGTATACACCTTAGTAGAAGTAATACACCTTAAGGGCATTTAACCAGGAAACACTACTATCGTCCTGATAGACACGTGTGACCAATCCATCACTTGTCCCAAGGATGAGTGGACGCTACTTCGTATTATTTGGGCGCGTATTCCCCGCGATTAGCATCCATAATTTGTTTAGGGGTATAATAAAAACCCATTTGGAATGCCCTGACGTCAATGGTAACCTCAGAGTAGAGGTACTATGTCATGATGATTTTAGCGCCAATAACAGTGGGTTGTCGTATACCCCGAGGAGCTGTTACGGTAGATAAAGGCGTACGTGAGGGTCTGAAGGGCGGAGTGCCGTCAAGAAGGAGCAGGAGATAATGGGGGAGGAGGAAAATGAGCGGAGAGGAGGAGAGAATGGGAGAGAAGGAGAGTAGAAAAGATGGGAAAGTAGTAGTAGAGTAGTCACCCCAGGCCTGAATATGTAGTACAGAGCTGTAACTCTTGGAGAGAACCTGAACCATCTATTTTATCTTTTTGCCAGTTCATGTAACCCTTGGTTGTAAGACCCCGACCTTCCCTCGAGTGTTGAACTGACCTATATAATCCCAGGAACGAATTTGTGGTCCAACTATCATTTGCATGATTTTGTGGGATGGTCACTTCCTGGAAGGAGTTCCGGCTAACACTCTCTAATACCCATTAACAATGGGGTAAATAATAATTTTTTAAGATAATAATATGCCTTGGTAAATATTTTGTTCAGGTTGAGCAGAAATATAGAAAATAATGAAGCTCATGAAACAATAAACTTATGAAACAATTAACTCGTAGAACAGTTACCTCATAAAGCGATTAATTCATAAAACACTTCAATCTTAAAACAATTACCACATCAAACAGTTAATTCATAAAACAGTTATGTCATAAAACAATGAATGAATCAAATAACTAAAAAAAAATTATAAAAGAATAAATTTAGAAAACAATTAACGCATCTCCCAGTCAAATCAATAATGCTTACCAAACAACCCGGCCATCTTCCCTCATTTACAACACGACCTAAACAACGAACAAACCACAAACGAACATATGAAACACGTTTCCCACTAACACCTTTAACTCTGGTAATATAACCTAATCAACCACACTACATATAACCTCCAGCAACTCCCTTTGATATCGCTGTAAGCTATCACTGATTACGCTGATAAGCCTGCAATCCTCCAAGATAGCACGGCCAGTTAAGACCAAAAACACAACAAGCCTCATAGCTGCCCGACAGAAAGCCAATATTCCCTAACTCTTAAAGATTACTTTCGTAAGAAGGTATATAGATAAGAGTGAGTATTGAGTTGGAAATATCGTGGTGCTCAAGATGACATCAGTCCAAGGGCTGAAGTTCAAGCGGCGATCACAGGTGAGTTGGTTCTCCGTGTGTGTATTGGGGCAAGACTTTGTTTTGGTCTACTCGACTTTAATGCTGCTCTTGAATTCGTTTGTATTCTCTCTATCTCTCTCGCGTGTCAGAATAGCATTGTTCGTCTAGTTCATTTAGCTTGTATCTCAAACTCTTCCCGTGAGCTGTAGTGTACCTCATACCAATTCCCTGAGCGGCAGTGCATCCCATACTCATCCTATACCCATTAGTGTGGGGTATAGGAACCATTGGTAGGTAATGCAAGCTTCTTGAGATGCGTATATCGAGTCTGACTCGACCAGTAGTAACATGTATAGGAGTCTGTTGATTTCATTCGAGGATTCATAGCTGCGTGGCTCTTCTTGCATCAGAGTATAATTATAAATGGAATAGGTGGTGGAGATTTTACTTTATCTCAGATCTACAGTTTGGTAGAGTTATTGGTGCGTTATTCTTCTCAGGCTAATCCAAGATTATGTCAACTCATTTATATCCCGGTTTGATGATTTGTTTAAAAACAAAAATTACACGTAGAGACAAAAATTATATACGTTCCGAAGATGTGACTTTCTCTGGTGACACAGTGCCAATCCTACTAAGTTGTTGTTAAAAATATTTTATGGTGTGATAGACGAATAAATATCATAGTTAAGGAGCTTGAACATTCTTTATTTAGCACTTACGTTACAAAAGAGAAAACGGTATTTTTTCTCGTTATATGGCAGACTATGATGAAATCTTCACTGACGTGATTATGGTGCACGAATGCGTTTAGTTTAACAAGTTAACCACTGATAGGTTAGATTTAGAGCTCATAAACTTGTCCCATCATCGGTCTGTTCGCAACTTGTTCTTATTTAGCTTAAATTAGCTTGAAGGGTACAGTCACATAATGGGTTCAGGTACTGAAATCTAATTTAATATAGGCTCAGTGATTTACATTTCTGGTATAAAAGTTACAGGTCTTATTGCCTCAAGTTTGTACTAAAAGTTGCTCGGGTTATGATTGAAGGACTTGACAGAAGCTAAGATGACGGTACACAGCCATAAGAGAAGCAGGTATGAGAAGGCAGTTTAAGCGTACATAAAATGTTTACAATGTCTGGAATATGTAAACTTGAGGTTAATGGCTAGGATTTGGGCAATATGTCATCCCACATAAACCACATGAACATTACTAGAACAACAGTGATAGAACTGTCTCTTAACTCTTAAGAATTTTTCCACATTAAGTTACATAGAGACATAGAGTGTTAGTGGTTGGTTGAGTGGTGATGGTGATGAAGGTGATGATGGTGGTGGTGATGATGATGTTGGTGGTGGTGATGATTAGGGGAGAGATAACGAGAGGGGGGGGGAGTCAATATGATACTCACCGTGGTTATCACCGTGAATCCTATCACAATGTTATCCACACATGAGGTTATCACTTGATTATTTTGACGCAAGTCTGACCTTGTTATTGTAACATGATTCGTTGAGGATGCTTACAACATGTGTGACATGATTGGTTGGTGTTACACCCAAATATGTGGGGTTAACACGTGCAACAGGAAAATACCAGCAGCATGTTTGGGGTTAATACGCTTAAAGGGCAGTGAAAGTACATGTTATTGCTATATTTGTGTATGTGATCACCCATTAGCGTTTGTTGAGTGAAAAAGATATGTATCCTTTGGTTTCAGCACCACACGTGCGTGCGTGTGTGTGTGTGTGTAGGGTTGTGTTTATGTATATTCAGCTGTGGTGGCGAATACCTGAGCTCCTGCTCCTGGACCAGCCTTTTAGCTGTCAGTCAACTAGTGCAATGACTCCCGACCCTATATATGAATGTAGTTATATCTCTTTCATCTCCTTTGGGCTTCTTTTAACTTCTCGTTTACCATAAGAGAAGTCTAGTGTCCATTGTGTCCATTATTGTCATCTAGTACTGTTTCAAGTTACGACTAACCCGCCTCTGTGTCGTCCTTGTCACGGAGTTTCTCGAGGTCGCGATCTACTTCGTTTCTTCTCCGCTTTGCCTTTCAACTGGGGTTTCTCTCGCTAGACAATGGAGGAGATCGACCTGGGAGAGAAGGGCGTGGTTGCGAACGGCTTCGATCCTGCTGCGGGGGTGACCTACGCGTGGCGCAATCTCAATGTCTTCGCCCCGGGCAAAGGCTTCATCAAGAAGTCGCCCAAGACTCATATCCTGAAGGACGGTGAGTGTCCAAGTCTGTCATCAACTCTCCGTTTTATGTTCGGGAAAATAATCACATTAAAAAATGTACATATATACAATTGATTGGGTAATTACTTTACAAATGCATTTAACACTGACTTCATATTTATTTAACATCTGGAGTAAATAGTTTGCTTATATTAAAGCTGAATATGAGTTGACATGAGCAGTTAATGTTTTTCAATCCATTATATTCTTAATTAGGTCAGATTTCAATTCAGTACAACAAGCACAGCTTTGCGTGTTCAGTATTTGTAAGACTAACAGTGTGCAGAAACAGTAAAAAAAAAAGCATTTGTTACATTAACTGCTCTCGTTTGCTTTTGCTGCAAGTTAATCCAAGATTAGTTTAGATGGTTTAGTTACATTTAATGAGATGCAATTAACTTAAATGGACAAAATTTCATTTTTGATCTAGAAAATCGTATTACCCCTATTATTGCATGTTTGTTTATATTATAACGAATATACGTTTCTCAACTTACAACATACATTTATCAAAACTAATTTCGAACTACTGCACATGAATTAATATCCATACCAGGATAGAACACATGCATGACGTAAAAAACACACACAGGTATTGATTGTACAATACACCTTTTACGAAATTTTTCAATTGCTAATCAAATATCTTACATAAATAAATGACGAATATCTTCTTTTTTTAAATAGTAATTAAGCTTTGGTGGAAGAGGGTTGTTATTTGTTGGATATCACAGTCTCAGGGATGTGTGAGGGCGGGCAGCTGCTGGCTATCATGGGCTCGTCAGGAGCAGGGAAGACCACACTCCTCAACGTCCTCACCTTCAGGTAGGTCGTCTCACTCTACCAACCTTCTCTTCTCACCAGTCACGTCTTCAGGTAGTGGCTTCCTTCATAATGTTCGTGGCTAATATCTTAGCCATATCTCTATCTTCAAGTGTATATTCTCTCTCTCAGCCCTGTAAATCTTCAGGTATATACTCTCTCAATCTTCACCTTCAGTTAAAAATCGATCATTCTTGTCCTCACTACACCTAAATACCCGTCTCTACTCTGTCCTCATTTTCAGGTTAAGTCCTTTCTCTTGAAGTCCAAAACAAGGTAACATCTGACTTGGTATAACTTTCTGACATATTTCATCACTGTATCAAGGATATCATAAACACTTGAGTCTTCATCACCAAAACCTGTGTCTTATTCATCAATGAATGTGTCTCATTCATCAATACTGTGTGTCATTTATTAAACCTGCCTCTCATTAATTATATCGTTAAAACGGGTGACGTATTCATCAATGCCTCATTCATTTATACATTAAAACGCGTGTCTTATTCTTCAACGCATGTTTCTCATTCATTACCGCACGTGCCTCCGTCATCAACGCATGCTTCTCATTCGTTGTGCCTAGGACGACGAAGCTGGAGGTCTCAGGCGACATTCACATCAACGGTAAGCCGGTGGACATGCGTACTATCGCTGGCGTCTCGGCGTACGTCCAACAGGAAGATCTCTTTACTGGCGTCTTCACCGTTAAGGAGCAGCTCCACTTCAATGCAAGTAGCGCACGTCACACGCAAGTAGCGCATGTCACACGCACACGCAAGTAGCGCACGCACTCACAAGCAGCACGCGCACTCATACAAATAGCTCATACATACACACATCATACAGAGAACCAAAGTTTGATATACACACATTCTTAGAGCATATTACGGTCTGCAAAATATTGTAACCTTTTATAATTCTCTTTATTCATGAATACAATAAAAAAATGCAATATTTGTTAGCCATATGATGAATCTTAACTGTCTCTCCTGTGTGTGTGGCTGGTCACAGGCTCAACTGAGGATTGGCAAGGAGGTCTCACAGAAGGATAGGCTGCAACGCGTGAAAGAAGTCATGAAGGAAGTGAGTATCTTGACTAGACACAACTGTGAGTTATGTCTAGTCTGTGAGGAATTACTGTTATGGGACCTGATATATAACCTTTGAGACGTCTAATTTATGGTATCCTGTGATCAGCAGCGCTGCTACATCTCCTCTACTGTTCTTTGTTATTTTATGGTAGTCCTGAAGGCACACTTAATTGTTTGAGAGTTATAATAGCTTTGTTTCTGTGAGGGTACAAGAGTATGACATCAACAAGAGTTGATGTCATCAAGGGATTGGTTTATGCTTCTTGATTATTGGGCTGATGGACGAGGGCTTCCCAACTCTCCTCTCGCACTATTAAGCTTAAAGACGTTGGTTCCCTTCTCTTTTTCCTCTTCTCATGTCTCTTGCTTCCGCTATTGTGGGTATCTCCTCCTATGTCATTCTCTTGTTGAGAAAAACGTTTCTCTTTGTAATGTTGAAATTAGAATAGTTTGTTTTCCTAGGACTGTTTTTTGGGATCTCGTTTGTGATCACGGTATTAATCAACTGATTTCATTCCATCCTGTGGTGGCCTGAAATTAAAAAAATTTTCTTCACTGTTTTCTGACTCTAGTATTTGTGTCTCTTTCTTCATACTTGCCACTGACATTTATTTTTCTACCCTTTCTACTGCTTGGTTCCTTAGTATTACTTAATTCCTACTACAGGGATTGCCTATTTTCACTGTATTAGTTGACTAGTGATAGTTATTGCGTCCTAGAAAGTGACTGCTTGCAGTAGTTAGCTGACTCCAGGATAATGTTTTATATAACATTCTCACAAGTGAAGTCTTTCCTTAAAACAAAGAGCTTATCCATTGTTTGATTTCCAGATTTCCAGCTACCTAAACTTGGCTGTCAAGCTCTGGACCTGAATGGATTATATTTAAGTTTTTTTTATCTCCTTCTTTGATAACATTAACTTATTCGAGCACATTTATTATTTTTCTTGTGTTGAATCATTTCTTTTCTTATCTCACTCGTGATGTTTTGACTTACTTGGGTCAACATTTTATCTAAGGTGTCTCACCGGTGTATATTCCTTGTCCGTTTTGCTCCACAATTCTCCCCCTTGACCCTCCCAATGGTCTTTCCCATCCTCTATTTGCTTCTGGACCTCGGCTTTGCGTTTCTCAATATATGTGTGCACACCTAATTGCCCGGGTTAAGCTTCTGGTTTGTGATCCCGTCAATATAATGTCAAACAGCTGATGTACAGACCCATTTGTGTGTATGTGTGTTTGTGAATGTACTCACCTAGTTCACCTAGTTGTGAACTAGGTAAGTACATACACACAGTATGTGTGTGTAAGCTCCTCAGTTTAAGATAAATTACAACTCTAATGATTATTAAATTCTACGAGAGTTATTAAAGGTGTGGGCATCTCCACAGCTGGGCCTGAACAAGTGCGCCAACACGAGGATCGGCATCCCAGGACGCATTAAGGGAATCTCTGGCGGAGAGAAGAAAAGACTCGCCTTTGCCTGTGAGGTGTGTTGCCGAATCCAAAGACGAATCCCTCGTCTTTGGATTCGAAAGGAAGTGTTTGGGTGAAGGTGTTGGTGTTTGGACCAAACGAATTATTAACATCTTTATTGACAAAAATAATTACAATTTTGCCTAATCTGAGGATTTTGATAGTCTTATTAAAGTGAGGATAATGCTGGTATTCACGACCAAACGAAGAGAATGTATGATCAGTCTTGAAAGCAGGAAAAGGCTGTGATTGAATTGTGAAGCTGGTAACTGCTGGGTTTTAATCAGGTTGCATTTAAATAAGGGGAACCATTTTTATATGATTTTAATAAATTTTAATTTATTTCAAGGAATGCGTGGATAGGATTGATTGGTTTAGAAGTAATTATAAAAAGAAGGCACCAAAACTAGGAGACTGTATAGCACAACTGAATGGTTTAGAAGTGTTTGGATTATTTGCTGTCATTTCACAAGAGTGATTATCTCCACCAATAATTATAAAGGCGTAATAATCAGTTACACAGACCAGACAAATTTAATTAACATTGTGAATTTATAACATGAAAACAAACGAATGATGTAAAACAATGACTGATACTTCACTAGTCATTTCTGTTAAATGTTGAGTTTGACAGTCACGTTCGAGTGCCTTAGAAATAGCGCTGTATGTATGTTTCTGTGTCTCTTGGATTTTTACTGGACAAAATGATCCACTTGTGTTCCTTGGTGACGGATGGTTGGTTGGTGGATCAGATGATCACCAACCCTCTCCTGCTGCTGTGTGACGAGCCCACCTCCGGCCTCGACTCCTTCATGGCCCAGAGTGTGGTCGGGGCCATGAAGCGGCTCACTAGCTTGGGCAAGACGGTCATTGCCACCATTCACCAGCCCAGCTCAGAGGTCTTCGCCCTCTTCGACCGCCTCCTGGTCATGGCCGAGGGCCGAGTCGCCTTCTCCGGCACGGTCGACCAGGCCCACTCCTTCTTCACCAGGTCAGTTCTCACTCATTAGACGCCAAGTGTCGGAAAAAGCGACATCATTTACTAAAGTTTAATTCAATATGCAGTAAATATTGCTGCTGATTTTGTACTAACAAATTCATTCAAAGAAAACGAGATTACAGTGGAATTTTCCTCGGAAAAAAACGGGGAATATCATTGCCACGTCGCCATTAAATTCACCAGTTAATAATAATGTAAATTCTTCTTAAAACATCCGTCTCTGGACTCCAAACATCATAAAAAAACACATTTTCCTGGATCGAACTTAATTATCAGTCCTAAAACAAATTAAATATAAACCCTCTTTCCACTTCTTGATAAAAACGCATCTGGAGAAAACCCGATGCGGGAGGGAAGGAGAGAGAGTAGCCATTTTGAGCTCGGAACATTGTAATGTGTCGTGTTGACCTCTCGAGTATTCGTTCATAACAAGTTATTGTCGTGGAGTTGGAGTTTCCAGAACTAACTGAGTTTATCCTCAGCCCTGCCTTCCTTATACTCCAGGATGGAGCGCCCTTGCCCTGAAAACTACAATCCGGGAGACCATTTCATCTACGCCCTCGCTGTCCGGACAGGCATTGAGGAGGAGTGCCGGCAGTTTATCACTCACGTCTGCGACTCCTACAGGTGAGTGCTGAGGGGCTGCAGGATCTCCCTATTGTGTGTGTGTGCTTTAAGGACATCCTGACTCGCAACTGTTAGTTTTCTCAACCCGTCGTTCTTTCCCTTTCCATTCGTCTACTCATGAATCTGTTCGTGTGTTGCTTGCCCGTTTCGTTCGTCTGCTCATCCGTGTGTCAGTGGGTGTGTTTATAATTCTTTTCGCTCGTTCTTTCGTGACTCAGTTCGTTCGTTTATTGGCAGGATTACGGTAAGTCAGTATCGAACTTTCGAAACAATTCGTGCTCACATACACTAAATGTGCACTAAGAGAAGCATTTATGCTTGGCAAGTTCCTTATTGTGAAAGATCACTCATACATACTGAGATACATTTATGAATGCTGCATATCCATATATAAAATGTATGCATATATTTATTGTTGACATTGATTTATTACTACGTGTGTAACATTCATACACACACACATTCATAATCATACCAACTCCACCCCACCAACCCACAACCTCACAAGGCTTACCACATGTGTCCACCGCTACACAGAGACGGTGAAGGCCAGGAGATGGATGAGAAGATCAAGGAGGTCTTAAAGGAACCTGTCCACGGAGACCCCTTGGCCCACATCAAGTTACCCAAGAGCCCTTACCGTGCCTCCTGGGGCAACCAGTTCGCCGCTATGATGAGGAGAAGCTTCGTAGAACTCTCCAGAGACCTCACTCTAGTGATTACTAAAATCGCGCAGTCGTTGGTGAGTGGTTCCTTCTGTACTATTAACGAATATCAACTTATACTAAAACCAGACAATTTCTAACGCTATTTTCTGTATTTCAGTTTTTCTCCATCGTGTTCGGCTTGATCTTCTTCGACCTGGACAAAGATGGCATTTCGCTCACATCTGTACAGAACATCAGCGGTGTTCTCTTCGTGTTCCTCACCAATATGACGTTCTCCAACATGTTCCCCGTCGTTACGGTCAGTCTACAACATCGTACTTCATTATCGTGTTGTTCTCTATGATGTGTTTGTGTTGTAGATGCGAAGTCGAAGTAGATGATGTTCTTATTAGGTCTTCATTGTAATATGTGAATGTCTCTCTTGACATCAACATTAAGGATCAGGAACATTAAGACAGTGTCAGTCAGCTCTTCACACTACTTAACTTTCGTAGATGGCTTTGAACAGCCATTTACCTACGGAACAATACTCTTCCAGCTGTCTTTCTCCAACATCACCACACAACATCTTCCAGATGACCTCCTCCAATACTTCCACTTCCAGCTTCCAAGCTTATCATACTGAAACTGCAATTAATTGATAACGCAAACATCTCAGTTTCATTTTCGACTTATTATTATTATTATTAGTATTTATTATTAACGTTATTTGGAGTGTTGCTTGTGTATAATTTGTGTTTACATTTCTGTTATTAATTTTATCTGCATTGTAATATATGTTAGCATCATTAATTATCATAAGCCCAAAATTTTTTCACACTTATCTGCATTGTAGGATATCTGCATTGTAGGATAAATCTGCATTGTAGGATAAATCTTTCGTTCTGTGTTCTCCAATTTCGCGAGCTCTGAATGTCTTCAAACCCTCCTTATCCATATCCTAATCGTCCTCCTCCTCATCAAAGTCTTCTAATTTCGCTCCGTCTTCCTCTTCATTGTTCTCTTTCCTTTCAATCTCCCTATTCTCTTATTCTTCCCACAGACCTTCTCCGGGGTAATGCCGCTCTTCCTTCGGGAGCACTGGAACGGACTCTATCGCACTGACATCTTCTTCCTGACCAGGAACCTCGTTGAGCTGCCCATATTCATCATAAGCCCCGTCGGCTTCATATCTATTGCTTACTATATGGTGGGACTCAGGTGAGAAGCATGAGTGATGAGGAGAGATGAGGAGGGATAGGGGGAGGGGGGGGGAGATCTATATCAAGAGCATCCTTAAATGATTTAGTACCTTTAGGAACTATGGGGGTCTAACGTACTGAAATGAACAATTGGACCCCATAAAAATAGTTTGTAAATATATATAAATATATATATATATGCGAACAAGCCTGAATGGTCCCCAGGACATATGCAACTGAAAACTCACACCCCAGAAGTGACTCGAACCCATACTCCCAGAAGCAACGCATCTGGTATGTACAAGACGCCTTAATCCACTTGACCATCACGACCGGACAAAATGAGGTGATAGCCGAGGCTATTTGAACCACCCCACCGCCGGCACTCGGATAGTTATCTTGGGCATAGCATTTTACCAAATCACCTCATTCTTTGTGTTCCTCACGTGTTGCCCCAAAGAATGAGGTGATTTGGTAAAATGCTATGCCCAAGATAACTATCCGAGTGCCGGCGGTGGGGTGGTTCAAATAGCCTCGGCTATCACCTCATTTTGTCCGGTCGTGATGGTCAAGTGGATTAAGGCGTCTTGTACATACCAGATGCGTTGCTTCTGGGAGTATGGGTTCGAGTCACTTCTGGGGTGTGAGTTTTCAGTTATATATATATATATATATATATATATATATATATATATATATATATATATATATATATATATATATATATATAATATATATAAATATATATAAATATATATATAAATATATATATATATATGTATATATATATATATATATATATATATATATATATATATATATATATATATATATATATATATATATTTACAAACTATTTTTGTGGGGTCCAATTGTATATATATAATTATATATATCATTATATATATATAAATATACAACTTTAGAACACTTTCCCACCAGGAGACTCGAACCCTAGCCAGCACAGAAGCCTTCCAGCAACTGGCATAACAGGTACGCCTTAACCCTCTCCACCACCCACTCAGACCCTTAAAGAGATGGTAATTTCGGAGTATTTAAATACACCAAAGATCATCACCTCCCAAGAGCACTAGAGCAAGTGAGGGGTCATTTAGACCCCTTCCAGTTGCTGGAAGGCTTCTGTGCTGGCTAGGGTTCGAGTCTCCTGGTGGGAAAGTGTTCTAAAGTTGTATACTTAACTCTCGTGTTTAGGAGAGTTGTGCCTTAAGCATAGACACTGTGTCTTCCCATATCAACAGGGACTTGATGAAATTAACGTCTAAATGACCCCTCACTTGCTCTAGTGCTCTTGGGAGGTGATGATCTTTGGTGTATTTAAATACTCCGAAATTACCATCTCTTTAAGGGTCTGAGTGGGTGGTGGAGAGGGTTAAGGCGTACCTGTTATGCCAGTTGCTGGAAGGCTTCTGTGCTGGCTAGGGTTCGAGTCTCCTGGTGGGAAAGTGTTCTAAAGTTGTATACTTAACTCTCGTGTTTAGGAGAGTTGTGCCATATATAAATATATATATATATATAATGTATTATTTTTTTTACCTGGCAAAACAGGGCTGATGTTGAGAACTTCTTCACAACGATGTTGATCATGGTTCTGGTGGCGAACGTAGCAATTTCGTACGGTAAGTAACGAATAACGAGTCCATATCTCCGTTTCCTGTTCTCATTCGTTGTGATATAGCTGTCTGTTGTCTAATAAAGTTCCCTTTATGATCACAACTCTCCTGGTGATCAACACTTTACAATAACTGCTTTCTTCATATTAACTATTCGATTTATGATGTTCTACAACTGATCCATCTGGCTGTGGGTGCAGGTTACATGATCTCCTGTATGGCCAAGAACTACCAGACGGCGCTTGTCCTCTCTACACCTCTCACCTTCCCTCTCTTGCTCTTCGGCGGGTTCTACATGAAGCCAGGGTCAGTAGTGTGTGTGTGTGTGTGTGTGTGCATGTGTATGTGTGTGTGTGTGTGTGTGTGTGTGTGTGTGTGTGTGTGTGTGTGTGTGTGTGTGTGTGTGTGTGTGTGTGTGTGTGTGTGTGTGTGTGTGAGCTCTCTTCTGAATAAAGTCTTCATAGCAGAAAACATATGAGAGAGAGAGAGAGAGAGAGAGTTGGATATAAACATATAGAATTAAAATAAATACAACCGGCAAAAAATAATTGCCTATGTGATAATAATAATTAATATAACAGTAATATTATATATTATTAATATGATTTTATATTATGTTTATTAAAACCCAAATAAACTGAACAAAAACAATCTTTGTTATCTTCAACATAACATTATTTTCATCACCAAATACACTATCCATATAATCATTCTAATCATCATTCTAACATGACCCTCATCATTAAATTTCATAATCATTATTTCATCACATATCATGCATTGCGGACGAGGAGTCACAATAACGTGGCTGAAATATGTTGACCAGACCACACACTAGAAAGTAAAGGGACGACGACGTTTCGGTCCGTCCTGGACCATTCTCCAGTCTATTGTGGGTCATCATCATCATGCATCATCATGCTCATCACTTCAACATTGCATCTGCATACTGGAGAATGTACATCATTTTCCCCCACAGGACGGTTCCCGTGTACCTGGACTGGATGAGTTACCTGTCCTGGTTCCAGTACAGTTACGAGGCCCTGAGCATCAACCAGTGGAAGAACACGATGTTCTGCACCAACGAGACCATCAGTGGCAACTGCTCTTCTGAGTTTGAAATAGGATCCGATATCATCGCCACACTCGGTTTTGATGAGGTTGGTAAATGGTGGGATGAGTTTGGATGATCATTGGAGCTGGGAAAGTTGTATGATTGAAATATTTAGGATAGTTGTGGGTTGTTTAGGATGGTTATTTGATTTTGGTTAGTTCTCTGAAATAATGGTTGAATGACTTAGAAAGGTGTTAAGATTGAAAATAATTCTATGATTTCATATTTTCCTTGTCTACTTAAACATTTAGTTTCATATGGTTTAAGGAGAAAACTTTAATTTTAAATTGTGTTTCGCAAAGCTTAAACGTATTACAATATTAACAGTTCTCATTAAATTTGTGATTCTCCTTCCTTACTGTGTGTGTGTGTATATATATATATATATATATATATATATATATATATATATATATATATATATATATATATATATATATATATATATTCACAAATATACATAACCAATATGAGTATGATCCTAAGAGATAACTAATAATACCTAAATACACACACACTAAATACACTTTATTTTTCTATTTTCCAGAAACATTTCGGGATGGACATCGGTGCTCTATGCGCCCTGTTTGTTGGGTATCGCTTCCTGGCCTTCCTCCTCCTCCTCTCCAAGACTATTCGGTAGATCACTTGACCAAGGAACACCACAGTGTTACAGCTGCCGTTGAAGACACGCGACTTATGTTTTGTTCACATTGTTCGTTGATATTTGTGAACTTGTGTGAGGTCTTGAGCGTGAGTGAGAGAGTTATGTCGGATACTGAGATTCATTCAGTAACTCTTCAGAGATAGTGTGAGAGAGAGAGAGAGAGAGAAAGAGAGAGAGAGAGAGAGAGAAGGAACGATTCTGAGGTGAATTTTTATCGTATTTAGATAAATTTTTTAACATTTACAATGAATGTTATTATCCTAAATAATTAGTATTTTGAAAGTGCTTGTGTTGAGTCAGTTCAAATGAAAAATGTCCAGTTGGTGAAAAAGACCAGAGGATGAAGACAAACATGGGGTACAGTCCGCCGCCTGCGAAGAACACGAGCCCGGCCGAAATCGTCATTTTTCTCAAAACTCAAAATCAAAACCAGCCATAGAATCGTTTTGAAAATGTTACCATTGTGTTTACCACAACAATTTACATTTCTTTCTGTTAAGTCTTTCTTTGCTAATTTTAAATATTAAGGCCTATACTGCTATATTTACTGAGATAAAGGGACTTCAAATGTCAAACATATCATCGTGTTTTCTCAACAAATTACAAAGGAAAATGAGTTGTAAAAAATATAATAATAATTATAATGAGCTAAATAATAAATGGATACTCAAAATAATATTATATCTATATTCCTCATATTCTTAGAGACTACTATGCATGGAACGTATATGGGAATATGTATGCTACTTATATAGGCATATGTATGGTACTTAAATTGGCACATGAATGGTACTTTTAATGGAATATGTATTGTAATTATAAGGGCATATGTATGATACGTATAAGGACATATATTTTGTACTTATAAGGGCAGAGGTATGGTACTTACTTGGGCATATGTATGTTACTTATAAAAGCTTTTGTATGGTACCTCTATGGGCATACGTATGTTACTTATTTGGGCATGTGTATGGCACGTATGTGGGCATTTGTTTGGTACTTATATGGGTATGTGTATGGTACTTATATGGGCATGTGTTTGGTACTTATATGGGCATGTGTATGGGACGTATATGGGCATGTTTATGGTACGTATATACATGAATATGTACGTATATAAATGAATACGAATATAAATGAATATTAGTGAAGTTACTGTCCCTGGCGTTTAACTGTATTATAATTTTTGATGTCATGTAACTGGATCAGTTACCGTACAAAGTTCAGTTCCAAGTTTCTTCTTGCCTTCTACCTTACACAGACAGTCATACTTGTTTTATAGATAGAGAAGATAGACAATGATTAAATCAAGTAATAAAAACTTGACCAGAGGATGAAGACAAACATGGGGTACAGTCCGCCGCCTGCGAAGAACACGAGCCCGGCCGAAATCGTCATTTTTCTCAAAACTCAAAATCAAAACCAGCCATAGAATCGTTTTGAAAATGTTACCATTGTGTTTACCACAACAATTTACATTTCTTTCTGTTAAGTCTTTCTTTGCTAATTTTAAATATTAAGGCCTATACTGCTATATTTACTGAGATAAAGGGACTTCAAATGTCAAACATATCATCGTGTTTTCTCAACAAATTACAAAGGAAAATGAGTTGTAAAAAATATAATAATAATTATAATGAGCTAAATAATAAATGGATACTCAAAATAATATTATATCTATATTCCTCATATTCTTAGAGACTACTATGCATGGAACGTATATGGGAATATGTATGCTACTTATATAGGCATATGTATGGTACTTAAATTGGCACATGAATGGTACTTTTAATGGAATATGTATTGTAATTATAAGGGCATATGTATGATACGTATAAGGACATATATTTTGTACTTATAAGGGCAGAGGTATGGTACTTACTTGGGCATATGTATGTTACTTATAAAAGCTTTTGTATGGTACCTCTATGGGCATACGTATGTTACTTATTTGGGCATGTGTATGGCACGTATGTGGGCATTTGTTTGGTACTTATATGGGTATGTGTATGGTACTTATATGGGCATGTGTTTGGTACTTATATGGGCATGTGTATGGGACGTATATGGGCATGTTTATGGTACGTATATACATGAATATGTACGTATATAAATGAATACGAATATAAATGAATATTAGTGAAGTTACTGTCCCTGGCGTTTAACTGTATTATAATTTTTGATGTCATGTAACTGGATCAGTTACCGTACAAAGTTCAGTTCCAAGTTTCTTCTTGCCTTCTACCTTACACAGACAGTCATACTTGTTTTATAGATAGAGAAGATAGACAATGATTAAATCAAGTAATAAAAACTTGACCAGAGGATGAAGACAAACATGGGGTACAGTCCGCCGCCTGCGAAGAACACGAGCCCGGCCGAAATCGTCATTTTTCTCAAAACTCAAAATCAAAACCAGCCATAGAATCGTTTTGAAAATGTTACCATTGTGTTTACCACAACAATTTACATTTCTTTCTGTTAAGTCTTTCTTTGCTAATTTTAAATATTAAGGCCTATACTGCTATATTTACTGAGATAAAGGGACTTCAAATGTCAAACATATCATCGTGTTTTCTCAACAAATTACAAAGGAAAATGAGTTGTAAAAAATATAATAATAATTATAATGAGCTAAATAATAAATGGATACTCAAAATAATATTATATCTATATTCCTCATATTCTTAGAGACTACTATGCATGGAACGTATATGGGAATATGTATGCTACTTATATAGGCATATGTATGGTACTTAAATTGGCACATGAATGGTACTTTTAATGGAATATGTATTGTAATTATAAGGGCATATGTATGATACGTATAAGGACATATATTTTGTACTTATAAGGGCAGAGGTATGGTACTTACTTGGGCATATGTATGTTACTTATAAAAGCTTTTGTATGGTACCTCTATGGGCATACGTATGTTACTTATTTGGGCATGTGTATGGCACGTATGTGGGCATTTGTTTGGTACTTATATGGGTATGTGTATGGTACTTATATGGGCATGTGTTTGGTACTTATATGGGCATGTGTATGGGACGTATATGGGCATGTTTATGGTACGTATATACATGAATATGTACGTATATAAATGAATACGAATATAAATGAATATTAGTGAAGTTACTGTCCCTGGCGTTTAACTGTATTATAATTTTTGATGTCATGTAACTGGATCAGTTACCGTACAAAGTTCAGTTCCAAGTTTCTTCTTGCCTTCTACCTTACACAGACAGTCATACTTGTTTTATAGATAGAGAAGATAGACAATGATTAAATCAAGTAATAAAAACTTGACCAGAGGATGAAGACAAACATGGGGTACAGTCCGCCGCCTGCGAAGAACACGAGCCCGGCCGAAATCGTCATTTTTCTCAAAACTCAAAATCAAAACCAGCCATAGAATCGTTTTGAAAATGTTACCATTGTGTTTACCACAACAATTTACATTTCTTTCTGTTAAGTCTTTCTTTGCTAATTTTAAATATTAAGGCCTATACTGCTATATTTACTGAGATAAAGGGACTTCAAATGTCAAACATATCATCGTGTTTTCTCAACAAATTACAAAGGAAAATGAGTTGTAAAAAATATAATAATAATTATAATGAGCTAAATAATAAATGGATACTCAAAATAATATTATATCTATATTCCTCATATTCTTAGAGACTACTATGCATGGAACGTATATGGGAATATGTATGCTACTTATATAGGCATATGTATGGTACTTAAATTGGCACATGAATGGTACTTTTAATGGAATATGTATTGTAATTATAAGGGCATATGTATGATACGTATAAGGACATATATTTTGTACTTATAAGGGCAGAGGTATGGTACTTACTTGGGCATATGTATGTTACTTATAAAAGCTTTTGTATGGTACCTCTATGGGCATACGTATGTTACTTATTTGGGCATGTGTATGGCACGTATGTGGGCATTTGTTTGGTACTTATATGGGTATGTGTATGGTACTTATATGGGCATGTGTTTGGTACTTATATGGGCATGTGTATGGGACGTATATGGGCATGTTTATGGTACGTATATACATGAATATGTACGTATATAAATGAATACGAATATAAATGAATATTAGTGAAGTTACTGTCCCTGGCGTTTAACTGTATTATAATTTTTGATGTCATGTAACTGGATCAGTTACCGTACAAAGTTCAGTTCCAAGTTTCTTCTTGCCTTCTACCTTACACAGACAGTCATACTTGTTTTATAGATAGAGAAGATAGACAATGATTAAATCAAGTAATAAAAACTTGACCAGAGGATGAAGACAAACATGGGGTACAGTCCGCCGCCTGCGAAGAACACGAGCCCGGCCGAAATCGTCATTTTTCTCAAAACTCAAAATCAAAACCAGCCATAGAATCGTTTTGAAAATGTTACCATTGTGTTTACCACAACAATTTACATTTCTTTCTGTTAAGTCTTTCTTTGCTAATTTTAAATATTAAGGCCTATACTGCTATATTTACTGAGATAAAGGGACTTCAAATGTCAAACATATCATCGTGTTTTCTCAACAAATTACAAAGGAAAATGAGTTGTAAAAAATATAATAATAATTATAATGAGCTAAATAATAAATGGATACTCAAAATAATATTATATCTATATTCCTCATATTCTTAGAGACTACTATGCATGGAACGTATATGGGAATATGTATGCTACTTATATAGGCATATGTATGGTACTTAAATTGGCACATGAATGGTACTTTTAATGGAATATGTATTGTAATTATAAGGGCATATGTATGATACGTATAAGGACATATATTTTGTACTTATAAGGGCAGAGGTATGGTACTTACTTGGGCATATGTATGTTACTTATAAAAGCTTTTGTATGGTACCTCTATGGGCATACGTATGTTACTTATTTGGGCATGTGTATGGCACGTATGTGGGCATTTGTTTGGTACTTATATGGGTATGTGTATGGTACTTATATGGGCATGTGTTTGGTACTTATATGGGCATGTGTATGGGACGTATATGGGCATGTTTATGGTACGTATATACATGAATATGTACGTATATAAATGAATACGAATATAAATGAATATTAGTGAAGTTACTGTCCCTGGCGTTTAACTGTATTATAATTTTTGATGTCATGTAACTGGATCAGTTACCGTACAAAGTTCAGTTCCAAGTTTCTTCTTGCCTTCTACCTTACACAGACAGTCATAC